AAAAAAAAAAAACAATTTTAGAGCTCTTTATCTGGAATGGCCATCATAGCTCTCATTGTACGAGGTTGGACAATTAAGTTTGCAAACTTTTCCTAGAAAAAGTGCTATATACCTTATTGCTGACTATCACTACTGTTGACAGATGGCCAAGGGGAGTATATCGAAGGTGACTATAGTGTAGTTAGCATTGAGGTATGTAGCACTTTTTCTAGGATGATTTTGTGAACTTAATTGTCCATATTATACATTATGTCATGTTACCATTTTAAATATGCAGTGTAAATATAAAGTAATGAAACTTAATGTTCATAGGTTATAATGAAGTAGCTTAGTTCATTGCTTAGAAAAGCAGTTCTATCCTATATAGAAATCTTCTCTGTAATATAGCCCACCTAACTTGCCTCTGCTTCTCAGTGTCAATCCCATATTGGTCTAGGGTAGCCATTCTCAACCTGTGGGTTGCAACCCTTTTGTAACAATGAAAATACATCCTGAATGTCAGATATTTACATTACAATTCATAACAGTAGCAAAATTACAGTTATGAAGTAGCAACGAAAATAATTTTATGGTTGGGGGTTACCACAACATGAGGAACTGTATTAAAGGGTCACAGCATTAGGAGACATTAGGAAGGTTAAGAACCACTGGTCTAGGGCCTGCATATAATATTCTTGAATGTCAACCACTCATTCAGTCAGTTTCTTAAATGTGTACAGAATTGCAGTTGCTATTGAGTAGATAAGCCTGAAAGTTCTGAATATGAGAATATTTGTGCAGCTCTTTAGTTCATAAAATGTCTTTACCTTTTTATCTTATTTGTTTTTCCCAGTGACCCTGTGAAGTAGATGTTATTGTTAATCATTTACATGATAGGGAAACTTTTGTGAGTCCCTAAAACTACCTCTAGGTCCAATGATTGACTAAGACTCAGCATATAGCCATATTCGCAGTTAAGATTTATTATAGTGAAAGAATACAGAGAAAAATTAGCAAAAAGAAAGGCACATGGGCAAAGTCTAGAGGAACCCAGGTATAAGCTTCCAAAAATTTTCTCCCAGTGGAGTCACAGGAAGCACTTCATTTCTCCATTAGTGGATTGTTAAAACACGTATGAAATGCTATCTACCAGATAGGCTACCCTGAGCCTAGGAGGCTAGGATTTTTACCAGGGGTCCTGTAGTCATTCTCTGCCTTGTTCATACCAAAATTCTCGACTCCCAGAAACAAGAAGGGAATTCAGGATAAATCATATTGTTTATACACTTTAGGCATTATAAGCCACTCTTATTAGTTAGGTAATAGTGAGAACCCTACCAAAATGTGAGCCTATGGCCATCCTGACAAGTAGGCCTTTTTGAGGATAGCAGTCTCAAGCCTGCAGTATAAACTCTTTTTTCCATAAAAATTAATGCTAAAAGAGGTGAAGTAACTTTGCTTAAGATACTTAGATAGTGGCCTGGTGCTGTGCCTCATGCCTGTAATCCTAGCACTTTTGGAGGCTGAGATTGGAGGATCGCTTAAGCTCAGGAGTTTGAGAACAGCCTGACCAAGAGTGAGACCCCATCTCTACTAGAAATAGGAAAAACTAGCCAGGCATTGTGGCAGGTGCCTGTAGTCCCAGCTACTTAAGAAGCTGAAGCAGGAGGATCCCTCAAACTCATGAGTTTGAGTTTGCTGTGATCTAAGATGACCACAGTGTCTCTAGCCTGGGTCAACAGAGTGAGACTCTGTCTCAAAAAAAAAAAAAAAACTTAGATAGCGTTACAGTCAAGATTCAAACCCAGGCTTTTAGATTCCAAACTTTCTTAACCACATAACATTAATCTCCGTGAAATTAAGAATAAATGATTTGAATGTACAATTGAAGTAGTAAAATTTAATGCATAGTTCTTTGAGATGTGGAATGCTGAAGCCATTTTCTTCCTGTGCTAAGTAATACCTTCTTTCTCTCTGACCTATAACCTTTCTAGGATAACATTAAAAATCTAGAACTAGACGTCATTAATCTTCAAAAAGAAAAGGAAGAATTGGTTCTTGAACTTCAGACTGCAAAAAAGGATGTCAACCAAGCTAAGTAAGAATAAAGTCAATAAATGTTTATTTAAGTCCCTACTATGTGTAAGGAGCTTTGGAGTGAATAGAGGAGTAGAACACTCATAACATTTAGCCAGGTATGGTGGTATGCACCTGTAGTCCTTGCTACTCATCAGGCTAAGGCAGAAAGATAGTTTGAGCCCAGGAGTTGGAAGCAGTGAGCTATGTGTGATTGTACTTCTGCACTCTAGTCTAGGTGACAGAGTGAGACTCTGTCTCAAAAAACAAAACAACAACAAAAAAATACCCCTTAGGATGACAGTAAAAAAATGCCAAAATAGCACACAATTGATAGCCAAGTAAATTTCTTAGGCAGTAATTATGCTAAGAGTTCAGAAATAGGGCGGTGCCTGTGGCTCAGGAAGTAGGGCACTGGCTCCATATACTGAGGGTAGCGGATTTAAACCCGGCTCTGGCTGAACTGCAACAACAACACAGCCAGGTGTTGTGGCGGGCGCCTGTAGTCCCAGCTACTCAGGAGGCTGAGGCAAGAAAATCGCCTGAGCCCAAGAGCTAGAGGTTTCTGTGAGCTGTGACGCCCCAGCACACTACTGAGGGTGACAAAATGAGACTGTCTCTAAAAAAAAAGAAAGAGTTCAGAAATAAGAAATATCAATTCAGGCTGGTATGATCCAGGAAGGCTTTGTATAAAGTTAGCATTTGAGCTGGCTTTTGAAAGATTATCAAATATACTAGACAGCAGCTATTTCCTTGTCTCTGCACTGATGGTAAATTAGTGTATAGAATTAATGTCCAGGTTAGTGATTTTAAAAATTAATCTAGCCATTCCTTATCAGTTAAAAATAAAACCAAGACATAACTAGAATATCCTACTCTCCCTCAGAACTCTCCCTATTAGCTAGTCTACCTTCTTTTCAGTTAAGGACTCTGTTTTGTCTCTCTGTTGAGTCTGAAACTCATGTACTTAAAAGTTATGCTGAATGTCTACTTTCTTTATTTTTTTTTAGAGACAGAGTCTCACTTTGTTGCCCTCAGTAGAGTGCTGTGGCATCACAGCTCACAGCAACCTCCAGCTCTTGGGCTTAGGCCATTCTCTTGCCTCAGCCTCCCATGTAGCTGGGACCACAGGTGCCTGCCACAACACCCAGCTATTTTTTAGTTGCAGTTTGGCCAGGGCTGGATTCGAATCTGCCACCCTTGGCATATGGGGCTGGCACCCTACTCACTGAGCCACAGGTGCCACCCTGAATGTCTACTTTCTATCTCAAAATTGTGTAATGATCATCGGAATTATTGCTAAAGTGAAGTGAAATGCCTTCAAAGAACCCTCCTTTGACACAGATTGTGTGTGTATGGGGGGGTGTTATATTGAGATAGTTAGATTGCGCATACTCAAAAATTATTGTTTTATTCTTTATATTAAGCTCTTATTATTGAGGCCATTTAGGTTGTATTTTTTTTTAAGATGGCTATGTGACTAGTCACCTATTTTATATATATCAAGGTTGTGAACCTGGGAGTCTAGTATGTCTTTTGAAGTCAGGCTTTGCCCTTGGTAGTCTTCACTCCTACAGCATCTGTGTGTAGGTTGAGTGAGCGCCGCCGCAAACGTCTCCAGGAGCTAGAGGGTCAAATAGCTGATCTGAAGAAGAAACTGAATGAACAGTCCAAACTTCTAAAACTGAAGGAATCCACAGAGTATACTGTCTCCAAACTGAACCAGGAGATACGGGTAATAAAATCTCATTCTTGCATTTATCCCATTGGAATTTACAAACAATAGATGTTGCATTTAGAATTATACTACAGAGGTGTTTTCAAATGAGAAAGTAGCAGGCAGGGCTACTTTCAAATGTGTGAATCTCTACAAACATTTGTTTTGCAGAATATTGTGTTGGTAGTGATCTATAATCTGATGAAATCTTGCTTTAGCATTCAGAGTTCAGTATTAGATTCTCTAACCAAAAAGGAAAGGCATCTCCATATTTAGTGGTGATATTAATATCATGATCACTTTCCATGATCATGTGGCATAACTTCATAAAGTACTAGCAAGGTGACAGACACCCACAGAAAATGCTCAGTTATTGAATGTACAATTTGTAAAATCCACAAATGGTACTTTCAGCCCACTCATAGTGAAACTTTTAGAATACAGTGGTTACTAGGTGGATTTGTCCTTGAGGCTTATCAATAATTTCTTGAAATTTCATTTATATATAGTAAATTTGGGACCAGGTTTAGCTTATAGGTACAATTTTATTGTATTTCTTAAGAGTGTTTATTTGTGTAGTCTATACTTGAAAACCCTCTGTAAGCATAGCAAAGAGTATTAGAAACCTAATCATAAAATCTTTTGGTGGCTTTCTCAGCTTACTTCTGGTTTTCCCTCTTCTTAATGGTAAGTCTATCCATCTACATATCAACCTAGAATAAAGATCAGATAACTAATACTTGTACTGGTTTTTGTTCTTACAGACGATGAAAATCCAACGGGTACAGTTAATGCGTCAGATGAAAGAGGATGCTGAGAAGTTTAGACAATGGAAGCAACAAAAAGACAAAGAAGTAATGCAGTTAAAAGAACGAGTAAGTAACTAAAACTGAAAGGCCTAGCTGCAAAACCCTTCTCTGAGTTGACTAATGATATTAATGCTTCTTTTCAAATACCCAGTGTCTCTAAAATGTGACATATTTATGAATTTAACAGCCTTATATTAAATATCCACTATGTACAAGGTGCTGTACACTAGGTACTAGGAGAAATAGAAAGATGAGCTCTGCCCTTAAGGAATACCTTGTCTAAAGAGGAAATAAGAATAAGCATGGATTTTTCTCAAATACAAAGAATGAAGAGATCTGGGCTTTAAGAATAGTATAAAATACCGAAGTAACTAAAAGAAAGGAAAGCACACTTCCAGTTGGAGTGAAAAGATGGTAGCTGAATAGGCCTTAAAGAATAGGAAGGGTTTTGATAGAGATAAGTATGGGCATTCCAGGGTAGGAGCAAAGACACAGAGGTGACATATTTATAGACATATTCAAGAAATAGCAAATGGTCCAGTTGGGATGAAGTATAGTAAAAGATGGACTAGAAGGGCGGCGCCTGTGGCTCAAAGGAGAAGGGCACCAGCTCTATATACCAGAGGTGGTGGGTTCAAACCCAGCCCTGGTCAAAAACTAAAAAAAAAAAAAAAAAAAAGATTGACTAGTAAAGGCAAGTTAAAACTTTATTGTTAAAGATCCAGTAAGTTTGAACTTCATTTTTTTTATTAGTGTAAAGACTTTTAAGGTTTTTGAGAAACAAAGTGACATTAACAAAATAATGCTTTAGAAAGATATATCTGAGAGTAATGTGTAGAACAAACTGTAGTATTGAGAAACTGAAGGCCAGAACACAAGAAGATATTGTATAATCCAGAAAGATTGTAAGGGCCTGAATATATACCTGAAGAACAGAGCCCCAAAATATGTGAAGCAAATACCAAGAAAAATGAAGAGAAAAATAGACAAATCAACAGTAATATTGGGAGACTTTAATGCCCCAATTTAATAATGGCAAGAATAACTAGGCACAAGATCAGCAAAGATGTTGCAAACTTCAACAGTATAATTCCTAAGATTTCGGGTGGTACCTATGGCTCACTGAGTAGGATGCTGGCCCCATATACCGAGGGTGGCAGGTTCGAACCTGGCCCTGACTAAACTGCAACAACAATGACAAAAAAAAGCTGGGCATTGTGGCAGGTGCCTGTGGTCCCAGCTGCTCGGGAGGTTGAGGCAAGAGAAGCACTAGAGCCCAAGAGTTTGAGGTTGCTGTGAGCTATGATGCCATAGCACTCTACCAAGAGCAACAAAATAAGACTCTGTCTTTACAAATTACATATATATATATATATGTATATGTATAATTCCTAGGATTTTTACATATGTGTTCATAAGAGGTATTGGTTTATAGCTTATATGCTATCCTAGATTATAAACTATGTTTAATAGACATCTATAGAATACTTCACACAACAACAGGAGGGTATACATTTTTCCCAAGTGCATGTGGAACATTCTCCAGGCTAGGCCATAAAGAATACCTCATTAAATTTAAAAGAATTGAAACAATACAAAGTCTATTCTCCAACCACAATAAAATGAAATTAAAAATCAATAACATAAAGAAATTTGGAAAATATACCAATATGAGAAAGTAACACAGTCCTAAATAATGAGTCAAAAGGAAGTCATGAGGAAATTAGAAAATATTTTGAGATGAATAAAAACAAATACACAACATTCCAAAATATGCCATGACCAAGTGAGGTTTATGGAATGCAGCTAAAGCATTTTTGAGAGGGAATTTTATAGTTGTTAACTTCCTATATTAGGAATGAAGGCTCAGCACCTGTGGCTCAAGCGGCTAAGGTGCCAGCCACATACACCTGAGCTGGCGGGTTCGAATCCAGCCCGG